TTGGGGCCAGGGGGTTAGGGGGTTAGAGGCCAGGGGGTTAGGGGGCCAGGGGGCCAGGGGGTTAGGGGGTTAGGGGCCAGGGGGTTAGGGGGCCAGGGGCCACACAAACAACACGCACATTCTTCCAAAAGTCAGCAGACACCCTACCATGGGACACCATTTTATATTTAAGATTTGGTTTTAATTTTGATATTATTTTCAATTATCATCTAAAATCCAGTTTTCAATGTGTTTTTGTTAGATTTTATTAGTTTCCGTTTGTTTAGAATTATTTGTATTACGTTTTCATACATTTTAGTTTCAGTTTAAGTTTTAGTAATTTTATCCCTAGGAGCCAATTTATTTTCTATGTCTGGTCTTTAAAGACTCCTACATGAAGACACAGTACATATTATGTACTAATATCCCTAAAATGGATTAGCTACATATTATTAAAATGCCACAATGGAAAATATTTGGTGTCCGTTTTCATTTTATTTTTGTTGCGTTTCATAAACAGTATTGATAGTTTCCATTTTGGGTTTCGGAACAATATCTATAGTTTCCGCTTAGTTTTAAATATTACTTCTTATATTCTGCTTTACAGAAATGCTTGCTTATAGTTTTAGTTTTCTTTAACTCTGTCAGCGGAATGAAACGCATGAACCGATTCCACAAGAAGCGACCACAGAAATACCTCTGGAAAGAGTGAGAACCAGCATCCCGTAAAGAGAACGTCAAGTGAGGGAACGTCCAGTCTGTGTTTCTCAGGCTGAAGTCCTACCTGAGGGACCTCTGTGGTACCACAGCTAAGGGACTGAGGTCTAGGTAACACATGTCTATCTTCCTGAAGCATTTCTCATCTCAATCCATGAGAACAAGTGAAATTCCAAAAATTGGTAGATAATCAACATCTTCCTGGCAGGTGATGTCATACATAAAATATTTATGTATGTTTGTGGGTGCCTCCATCTGTCTGCAGTCACATCTGCTGCGTGCAGCTGTGCCCCATCAAATGCTTCTATATTTGTGCGTGTGTGTGTGTGTGTGTGTGTGTGTGTGTGTGTGCATACAGTACCAGTCAAAAGTTTGGACACACAAAGTCAACAACAAAGGAGAGCGATAGTGTCGCATCACATGACCTCGCTACCTGACCAAAACACAGCAGAAATTGTTTTGGAGGAGTTTGGCCAGAGAGTTCTGAGCACATGTGTGGGGCCTCTAAGGACAGCTGGAAAAGCATCCCAGGAGACCACCTCAGGCAACTGGCGTTCAGGAGGCAGTAGGGCCAGCCAGTGCCTGGGGCAGCTGGGGTTAAGGGCCTTGCTCAAGGGCACCTGAGCAGTATCACTCTGTGGATCCAAGGATATGAACCAGCAACATTTTGAGTCTCAACCCACAGAGCTGACCCCACCACAACAAATTATTTTTTAAATACTTCTTTGGCTTAGTCATTCATTCCATATATTTTATTTTAAATGGCTTTATAATTATTATAAAAGGTAGAGAACAGTACAAATAAACCTTCCTAGGGGTACGTGTGTCCAGACGTTTGACTAGTACTGATGAGTATCCTATGTGCAATTACTAGTTGACTCCAATTTGTGCACATGCACACTAGCAGGCCTTCTGTGCAATTACTACTTGACTCCCATTTGTGCACACGCATGCTGGCAGGCCTTCTGTGAGCGGTGCAGTACGGCAGCCGAGATCCATGCCAGAGAGCGGCATTTTTCTGGCCCCTGCTGAAAGGCTCACAGTGGGGGGTGGGGGAGCGGGGAAGCTGGGGGGCTCCGTAGCCCCCCGGTCGATCGAAGCACACTAAGCGGGCTGTGAGACGGTGCCCAAGCCTCTGCTGTTTAAGTCAGGGCTCTGGAGTACATTGGTTTCCTGCTGAAACTCGACACTGCAAGCGGGAAACAACTGGCCAGTTGTGACACAAATAAAAAGGCCATCTAGGGCAGAAAATGCCATGAATCGCTTGCTTCATCAATTCCAAGGTGATTTTGCACCAGGCTTCACAGTTTAGCTACAACTGACACTGTAAACATTCTGCATACAGCCTTGTCTGACTGAACAAGGAATTTTAAGTGTATTTCTGATAGCGAGCACTAATTTCAGTTCCCGATTTGGCTGATGGTTCCTGACTGATTATGGAACAGTGCCAGATAAGGGGATTTCTGAAGGCCGAACAGAAGGGCACAATATGGCATCAACAGACACTGATACTGTCATCAGAACAATTTGTCTAAAGACAGGGTTGACGTCCCCCCAGCAGAAGACACCCAGGGGGAAACAGGCATATGCCCTTGTCCATTGTGACCCAAAAGAAGATGATCGTGAACAGAACCAAGTACTTGTATCTTATTTCATGATTGCAGGAGGTCTTAACATGCATGTCCCACTAAAGCAGACCCAGGATCAGGGGAAAAAAAGATAACATTCACGGCTGAATGAATACTTAAATTGCCAAAAAGACATCTTTGGTTGCTTTTTGACCCCGAATGAACAGGATTTCCAAGAAGGTTTTGGCACCTATTACAAAGACATTTTTGGCTGTTTTAGAACATTTTTGGCCGCTTTAGAACACCTTTTAGCACCTATTAGAAAGACATTTTTGGCTGCTTTTTGACCCTGACTGAGGGTCCAATATTAGCATTTTGAAAGCCTTTTGGCACCTATTACAAAATCCCACAGTCTTGTCCAAAATGTTTAGCAGATGGTGAGAACAACAATTCAGCGCATTAGAGGGACCTGCGTGTCACGCTGGCCATCAGGCTGATGAAGCTGAAGACCTCAGAAGGGAACTTCACTGCTGAGCTAACAAGTGGTCTGTTTTGTTCTCTCTGACTAGGAGATATAGTCTTTATGAAGATGGAAAGAAACAGTAATTAATTTTGCTTGGGAAAATGAGATTACACCCCAAACCAAAAAAGAAAAAGCATAGCAGGAGACGTTGAAGGCAGGGCTTCACCTGATACTCGTCTACGCAGTTGACATTGGCCGAATCGACAATGCAGCGGCCGAGCCACTCGTCAGGACTGGAGCTCAGGATGTCATTTCTGCAGGTCTCCAGGAGGGGCTTGAGTCGCAGCAACAGGGACCGGGACAGCAGGTAGCCGAAGCCACCGTAGCAATAGCGCCCCCCCGTTTCTCCCCCCGCAAACTCCTCAGGTTTGCCCATGTATAGCGACTCGGCCATGCTCAGGTGCTCCACCAGCTGCTTGATACGGTCTGCCTCCAGATAAGTGTCATCCTGGATGAAGTAGAACCAGTCGTACTCCCCCACGTAGCGATCCAGCACGTACTTGACGGTCTGAAACATGTTCCAGATGAGGCGGTCATCGCCATGGGCGACCACGGTCATGCCGGGGGGAAGCTTGCGGTTTCGCATGCCGGTGAAGAAGATCACGGCGTCAAGATGATTCCTGATGGTGCGGTTCATGGCCACACCCAGCGTGTTGATGGTGTTCTTGGAGGTCAGGACCCCCACAAACAGCCGTTCCCGAATTCCAAGCTCAGTGCTGATGTACTTGGCCCTGGGGACAAGGGAACGTGTTGTCACACCATGAGTTGGCTTCCCTAATGCTGCCGTCTTTCAATACCTCTATATTTAATATGATGTTCAGACAGGTGGACTCTTAATAAACAATGGAATCTGCTACTTGCCTCTCAGCTGCTTGCAAATATCACACAGACTGATGTGTTCATGTCTATAGCCAGACCCCTGCTCAGAACATCAATTTGTGTCATCAGGCTTTCATTAACCAACACCTGCCTTCTCTTCCTGACACACTGATTCTATTCCAGAGATGAAAGCAGGCAGGCCACCCTCACCAGCAGAACAAGAAGACTCCCACAGCACCAGGGCACAAACACACAAGCACACACACACAACTCCCAACCAGAAAGTCATCTTCAGGACTTTCATAACAGAACTCAGAGAAATTCAATTATTGATTCTGGACATAGAACGACAACCGAGGAACAAATTTCTCTTGTGGGGGGTGACAACAGGGCAAGCTGAAACATCCCAGAGAGCTGGACCTTTACTCAACATGCCTGAAGCTGAATTTTTGTTTTAGCGGCTTGATTACCTGATCGGCACGATCAGAAAAACACAGACTGATAAATCTAGAAAGAGTTTTAACTGAATAACGCGTCTAACAGCAACCCAATGATCCCAGACTGACGGATTGAAGTCAAGACTTCCCACTGACATCTTACACTTGTCTTTTCAGGACATTGAAGAATTTGGATCCTGTCTCCACCTTGGAGACCGTGGTCTCCAAGGTGGTCGGAAGGCTGAACAACAGAGTGTCAGACTGAAATTCAGGGTCGAGGTCTTATTAAAACCAAGGAAGTATGATGTCTAGCTTTCAGGAGCTTAAGATTAGCCTCCAGAAATTTTGCATTGCTTCAAAAGCCTCTTTAGAGACTCTGGTGCTAATCGCCCAGAATGTCATGAGCGTTAGATGTTAAATTCCAAATGGAGGGCTTGTTTACAGGCGACTTGGGGAACAAAGACGATCAGAGCCTGCACTTTGCTGCCAAATCTAAGTGCCAGATTACATTCACTGTGCTGTGTTATTATCTTTAATGTCAAAAATTCAGACAAAACTGTTCAGATGATGTTCTATACATGTCACATAAAATAAATTTGTTTTGATTTTACTCACTGTAACTCTACTGGAAACCTGATATTGCTTGTTAATGACATATTGGTGTTTCCCAGAAATTAGCTAGGCCTACTTAAATTACAATTAATATACCGGGATTTCTTTAAGTAACAAATATATATATATAAACATACAATACAATGATATTAAATAAATACGGAGAAATACCAAATATCACGTCATATAGCAGGTGAGGTACTGTACTGTGGAAGTCTTATCTGAGAGTTGTACTTTGTTGGTGTATGTATGTGCATATATGTAAAGAGGTATAACAAGTAAGACTTTATTCTACATTTATTATCCAGACCGGAGTCTTTTCTACCATGAGCAGATAAGTCTTTGAAAAGCTGAAGACGTAATTAGCAAAGAAACCAAAATGTTCCACCTATCTTTGCGACTTGTGAACGATCTATTCTAATAATTAAGATTATTTGGTTGTCAGCTGCAAAAGCGTGATGTATCAGGCCGTTACACTGTCAGTCAGGGCTTTTCTTACTGAAGGTCCGGTACACGGAGCCGTTATCGCGATGGTAAATGTACGGTCATTTTCCAAGAAGAAACTTGGTAGAGTACTTTAAAGTTCAAGCGGGACAAAAGTAGCAAACCAGCATGCAATTAACTTTGCTGAATGCAACTCTTAGGAATCAATGTGACAAATCCATTACACGCTATAATTTTAATCGGAATTAAATCATCCAATAAAGGCACGATACGCATGGACGGAAAGCGCTCCCCAGAAGAGGCTTACCTGATAATCTTCTTGGCCGGAGTCTGCTGTAAGGGTTTGTACGGCACGATCCTGGGCTCGAAATCCTCCTCCGCATCAGCATTTTCCAGGCTGCCTGTTGATATTGAGCTGGGCTTCCGAGCCCCTCTCTGCTTTGCGCCCCCATCCAGGCTGAGCTCGCCGGCGCTCCGCCCGTCCGCGTCGCACGGATCGTCCACCCAAGTGACACTCAGCAAACTCAGCGTGAATCCCAGGGAGATGCCGATAACCACCGGCCCGATGGGCCTTAAGAAGGAAACTAACGTTGCATATCGCATCGTTTTACTTCTGAGCACAACACCCCTGGGGAGGGCGGGGGAGAAGGAAAACAAACCCTCTTGTCTGAAACACGTTTGAAAAAGAAAAATACCGGGTATTATAAGCTTCAAAACATTAACGTGTTATCGAAACGGAAAGGCATTCGATGTAAATGGCTGGGAGGCAGACGGGACGCGCAGCGCTTTCTTCCCAAGTAGTGAGAGTCGTACGTGTCAGTGGTTCTGGCTCCTCCCACGTAAACCCAGCTCAGGGAAGACATGCCGACACCCTCAACACCGCCTCTCAAGAGGCTGGACTCTGTCTAAATGCACGGAGAGCCTTTTCTTTAACCTACATCTTTGTGTTTCATTTGCCCCTTTTTTCCGAAAACGCTGATTGCCAATAGCTCCTATTAATTAGACGTGACACTGTTTAACGTGAAAGCCTTGTTACTCTGGTGTCTTAACGACAGCCGCCACTGGATGGCGATCGTTCGCGCGTACGGAGCGGCGGCGTGAACGTGTCCAAGATATCAAAGTTTTTAAAGACGGTCCATGAGCCTTTGCCCTTCTTGGTGCGCCCTTCAACTACTGTAGGAGGGACGTCTATAGTCACAAGCATGGCTGTTACTGAATATTCGTTTTGTCTATTACTCAACCTACCTCACATAGTTTTTGAAAAGTTACAGTTATTCAGTAGCTGTATATAAGCATAACGGAAGATGGTAAACTTAGTGTATTCATGTGAAATCTTTTTTTTTTTTCTAAAGCAAACGTGCATTTAATCTAAGACTGTTACTGTACTTATCTGTTATAAAGTTTGCAAAAATCCTCTGTTTTCCTAACATACTACAGGTGGCCCTAGAGTGGCATCCAGGCACAGGCAAAGTAGGTAGGCACCCAGGGCTGATGGGTACACAGGGGCCCGGGCAAAGTCATGGGGAAAACAGTGAATGTGCAGGCAGAAACATGCCCAGCTCTAGCTATCGGCAGAACAGGCAGCTACTCAGGGCCCCCAAATTACCTGTGTAGCAGAGGAAGTGAAATGATCATCAATTTTCGTGGTAGAGGGGCCTCCCAAGGCTTGTCTAGGGCCCCCAAGAAGGAAGATCCGGCCTTGAGTGCCTCCTTTAGATTTAGGGTTAAAAAAAATACATTCCAAATCAGAAAATAAGCCAAAACAACTTCCAGTACTTTTGCTTTCTTACTTTAAATTCTAAGTCTAATTACAATGAGTTTTCACTCCTGTTTTCTCTCACAATCCAAAAACATGTAGTTAGGTGAAACGGTGTCTCCCAGTTGCCGGTGATGTGTGTGTATGTGTGAGTCTGTGTGTCAGGTGGTGGACTGAAGTCCTGTCCAGGATGTCAACATTTCTGTGCTGAAAACATCCCATTAATGAGAGAGGTCAAAAAAAGATGGGGGGGGGGGGGTCACAAGTGCAAAAATAACGGCTCAGTAAAATAATGGTGTTCCGAAAGGCATCTCCGATCACCCAGCTCGTCAAACCTTAACGCGGTTCTGGAGGCAAAAGGTGGACCTAACTGGTACCACAGAGGTGAACCTAATATAATAGACGCGATATTACAGCATTTATGACTGCATAACAGAGGAAGCTTTCCAGTTAAGGGCCCAGCGTTAGCTTGAGTGTTGCTGTGTTCAATTGACTGCACTGTTTCTCTGACTCTGATACCCTTATCCCTTACTTAAAGAACACCTAGGAGACAGGCTGAAGAGCCACTCGCAGAGTCACAGATCGACAGAGGAGCCACCCGAGACCGTTCCTCCGCTGTTTACGTCTAGAGGGGCAGCATATCAGCAGCGACTCCGCAGCCCTGGCAGCCGCAGCCTTCATGGTCAGCGTTTGCATGTTACCTTGAGTTTACGCACTGGTGTGATTTGGATAATGGCAGAACTGAATGTGCACTTGGAACAGACAATTGGAAAAAAAAGAAAGAAAAAAAAAAACGGAGACAAAGTCAGCTTGAAAATAACTGCACTGTGAAATAAAGCCAGTGCTTGGTACAGGGGGAGGGAAATGTGTGCAGTGCTGAACATGAGCAGCTGTGATTGTTGGGGGGGGGGGTGGTGTTAATAACAGTGCTCTGTGTGTGGGAACACAGTCACTTGCAGATGTGGGTCTCTCTCTCGCCTGGGGTGTCCTGGATACTTGGCGGGGGGGGTTCCCTGCAACTTTACTTAGCACCACTTCTTGGGATGTTTCGTACTTCTGTGGCTGTCATTGTAAAGGCTTTTTAACAATGCAGGGCTATTCAGATGTGTTCATTACTATGTAAAAAAGCCCATTCATATGCATCTTCTTAAATTTTTAAGCTGAATTATCCTTCTTTAATCAATGCAAGCTCATTCAGTTCTGAGAGTCAGACCGGTTACATTGATGGTACGACGAAAGCATACGGATTTAAAAAATAAAATAAAATTACAGCTGGTTCTGCTGCGCTGACAGAAAATGGCCAGAAGAGGGCAGTACAGGGCAGAACGCCATCTCATTCTCCAAAGCGGTTCTGAGTAAAATTTCCCTGCAGATAGGTGCTGGGGGGGAGGGCGTGGCAGAGGGGGGTTCGGGGGGCAGAGGTTTCTAGAACTTCCACTTATCTTTTGCAGGCCGGAAACAGCATTGTAAAGCTTAATCTCTGCGGAAGCTTCTTATGAACACTGAGGTCAAGCAGACACGTCAAACAGGATTTACTTCATCGTTTAAAACCCCGCAGGATGCCCTATCTCCACGTCCCCTGGCACAGACATTTTTCCTTGGGTATAGTAATTGCTTCTTGAGACACACAGAAACACCTCCAAGATTTCACTCTAGACGCCATCGACAGATTTTGTGTCTAATATTTAGCATATGATGACATAATGATCATATTCAATGATCCACTGAAAGTCTCAGTCATTATGCAAATTACACATGAAGTATTTATGGTGGCTTATGGAAAACGATTATATGAAAAGACTAAGATTAGTGTTAATGAGATGATTATGTATTCTGTCAGGGATATGATTCCTTAATTTACAAGGTCCTGTAGTCCTAAGTCTGAATTCCTAAATGCACTTTATTTCATTTTATAATGAGAAACCATTAATTAATCCCTTATCAGGGCCCCCATTTGAAAGCTTTTCTCATTCCTTAAAAAAAAAAAAAAAAAAATTTCTCCTGGCGTAGATAGAGATAGATCTCCTACATGGTGCCAACTTTAATTACTCATCCGTAATGATTATTAGACATCAATGGAGGAATATCCCACATCTCACTGGGCCCACAGGAGAGTCAGCTTCTGTCTGATTCATATAGGATTTATGAATATTTCTTTTATAAAATTAATATGTGAATATTGTTATATAAAATATATAACATTTGATGTAGGCAAAGCCTCAAGGGATTCACATATTATGTAAATCTGTGGAGTGAATTATTCATCTTTTTTACCCAAAATCTTGATGACTAAGCTTTAGAAACCACTGCATTGATCTACAGTATATTCCATAAGTGAAATGTTCACAGAACACAGAGGTTGTATTTTTATATATAACAATTGCCATATGGGTCCAAAGCAAATTTCCTTTTGCTCAATGAAAGTTAATGTAAATATACATAGTGGTGGGATTCAAACCTAAAACCCTGGCAGAGTAAAATGTTAGTACTAACATCCCATCCAAGGTGTAACCCTGTCTTATTATTCTGTACTGGATAAGCAGTGGGATTCTGGATGGAGGGAGTGATCCTATCCCAGAAGCTATGGGTGCAAGGAAGGGAACAACCCTGGATGGGGTTCCAACCCATTGCAGGGCACACTTGCACACTCTTTATACCTGTGGGCACTTTGGTAACTCCAGTAAACTTTGGCAGTTTTTTGGATGGGTGGAGAGGCTGAAGTACCTGCAGGAGACCCCACAATCACACGGGGAGAACATGCAGGCTCCACACACATGGAACCATGGTGGAGACTTGAACCCAGGTCCCAGAAGTGTGATGCAACAGTGCTAATCACTTCACCACCATGCCACCCCTCACCAGTGTTAATTTAATAGCATGTGGTTCAGCAATGATGTTATTCACATGTATTAAATATGGATCACTTGTGAAATGCAGCTGGATTCCAAAGAATCAGGCTTATTTCTACATGCTTACTGCTGAAGGAGTGACCCTCAATCAGTGATGAAAAATGCTCACATGGAAACACGTTGTCTAGAGCCTGCTGAGATCATCTGCTCTGAAGGCATTTTGTCAGTCTACAGCGTTGATGTAATGAAGTTAACTAAAGTTAACTATGCACTGAACTGCTTCAGCCGACATATCTAAACTCATAGATAATGTAAAAGTCTGAGATATGTTAGACACATTGGATAAATTACTGAAGGAATTAACGTCATGTGTTGATCGATTACCTTTTTATGCACTAAAACACACCAAAACATAGTCGGTGGTTGTAAGGAAAAGTAGTAACGATGTCCCAATGTTCTGGGTTGATCATGTGAATACAGACAGTGTTAGCTATTAATGATCAGGGGGGAATGATCGAAGGGGAAGCCAGGGAGAGAATGGGGGTTCCAGTCGGCACCACTAGGGTGATAAGGAAGATGATTGAATTACAATGATCAGAAAGTCTCCACCCTGTCCTGCCCCATCCCTGCCCCAGGTTCCTCAAAGTCCAGGGGGGTCACTCTTCATATGTAAATTCACTCACAACACCTACACACAGCACCTTGTTCGGGAGGGTCTTTTGGGGTATAAAGGGGGGTGAAGAACTGCCCTTAATTTGTATTTGAGCTGCCTTTCAGTACCCGGTGTATGTCTACACTGAATTACATTATATTATTTTTACTGTTCAATAAACCACCATTTTGCTGAAACTGCAGAGACTCTGCAAGTGGATTCCTTACAATGGTATAGTGGCTACGAAGGCAGCCCTGCTGTTATGCCCTTCTGGAAGGTGCTTAAACAAAAATGTATCCATCTATCATCTATGCTGTGTATCAGGTACAGCATTGTCTCACAGCCTGGTCTTTAGGAATCCGCAGACAGTCTGCGTGAATGTGGACCATCTGGCTGGGAGTTCAGAGAGAGCAAAAACACGGACCGGCTGTGGATCCCCGAGGACTGGGTTGGGGAACACTGCTGCTCGGGGTGATGGTGAACCTGTAGCCTGTCCCAAGGGACATGGGGCAGAATGTATGGGACAAACAGATTGGGACACCAGCATACCCACCCATAATATGAGCAATATAGAGAACCAAGTACAACTCTCTGCATGCTTAACTGGAATACATGGGGGGGGGGGCAGAATATGGAGTGAACAGATTTGGAGGCAGCATCCATCATCCCCACCCCCCGGGGAATGAGGCCTCACTGCCACCCCCCTGAATCACTGAGCTCCTCTGAGAGTGAAGCTCTCCAGTAAAACACCCATCTGTAAATGACTAAAAGCTGTAACTCGCTTTGGATAAAAGCATCTGGTCAAGCAGCTAATTGTAAATCTGTGAGGTCAGCTGGTTCATGTGCTTATGAGGGCGTATTTGTGTTTAAGGGTGTAGAAAACAAATGCGCCCCCTTCACTTTCTCCCTCAGCCTCCCCCCCCCCCCTCCCAAAGTAAATATGGGGGAGTTAGATAGGAGATATAAGAAAAAGCCCATATAGAGAGCCAAACGTCATCTCTGAGGACCTGCAGTGGTCAGAACTATCAGTCCTGCTAACAATGGTGTCCATTTTCTACTCTCACATAAACATCTGTTGCTCTAATGATAAAACTTGGATCATTCTTACACCCTCATTCCACTAAACTGAGCGAGCTTTGTGCTGAAATAACTCGCAAGTAAAACAGCATTTCAGTTTGCTTGCACTAGTTGATCAGAACATAATCTAAAAGGTACTTATAGTCTGGTTAGATGGCTGATGGTCAGTCCACCGAGGCCCCAGCCTTTGACTGCCAACAGATCTGCTCTGCACCTGATGCCACGCCCCCCCCCCAACACAGCAGACCCATGATATTTTTTTGGGCCCCGTGGGTGGAGTTCAGGCCACCGGGCGCTCGGCCTCGAACTCCACCCCAGGTCTGTCTCCAGGGGGAGGCCCGGCCCTTCCGGTCTGGGCGGGCTCACATGCTCCTTTATATTAACTCTCATAGGAGTCTCTTTGACCCTACATCAAAAGGAGCCAGTTAAGGTGGTTCAGGCATCTGTCTTGGATTCCTCCTGGACGGCTCCCTGGGGAGGTGTTTCAGTCATGTCCAGCCAGGAGGAGGCCCCGGGGGAGACCCAGGACACGCTGGAGAGATGATGTCGCTCGGCTGGCCTGGGAATGCATTGGTATCCCCCCGGAGGAGCTGGAGGGTGGGGAGGTCTGGGCATCCCTGCTTAGACTGCTGCCCTCATGATGGTTGGATGGATGGATGGATGGATGGATAATCTAAGATATCCTGAGATTATGTTTACATGTGCTATTTTAAATCCCTTCATCCACCTTAAAAAACTAAGCTTGTTTTCAGTTTTTATGTTGGATAATCGTTTTTAATTGTCTTTCTTGGTAAGGATACAATGAGGAATTATTATTATTATTATTTCGACATCAGCTATGTGTATATATATCCTCCTGAGACCCCACCCATTCATTTATGTCCATTGTAGTGGACATTTTATTTTTGCATCTATATTTTCACTGAGGTTAGGAAACGTATTTATTCCTGTTGTGCACTAAAGAGGACATGCTGTGAAATTAAAAATAAAAATAAATTTGAAAAAATCTAAATTGTAAGAT